AAATTTCCAAAGCAATGTCATGCCAAATACATATGGGTTCGATAACAAAGGATCAAAAGGGTGAACTAAAACTACCAAGTCCCGCAAGATAACACCCAGAAACTTAGTGGAATGTTCCGGTTCAAGCCAAAGCCTAATGATTTAACACCTCTATCCAAGCCTCGAAATTCCATTTTCGATATTGAAAATAATTAACGTCTGCAGCAATTCTCGCCTCGACATTTGAAAGGTTTTCTGTTCAAAGGATGATCGATTTTCTAGTAAAGCTTCCAAGCTACACATAATAGAATTCCATACATCCTGGTAAGTTGAGCTTAGTTTGTGCTCTCCAGATCGGTTCAATCTTAGCGGGGTCGGTAAGGCAGATGCGGTTAAACAAACTCTGTATACACAGTGAGCTCGATATCATGTGATTAATTCGTTTGTCTTATGTATTTTGTGTACTTTTGTGTATTTTTATAAGCCTATCAGCTGCCTTGCACACCTGTGGTCACTAGTGGAGGGTATTTCGTCAGTACGACGTTCACCTCTCCTTAATTTGGGACCAGACATTTGCTAGATTACTACCGAGTTCGTCGAAAAAAACATCAAGCTGTCTATATTTGGGATAATTACCCACGAAGTTAGTCTACATCAGCTCACTTGATTTCGGACGGTGAGGTTCAAGAATATGCATTGCCACATCCTGTCTACGTGTGAGTTGCCAACCAGAAACTGAGTTAAACTAACGCTGAGTAGTTTGCGAAAAGCTAGCTAGATTTAGCAACGCGCAGCACAGTCTGATACCAAAACGAAGCTTCTGGCCTTTTACAGGCATATTATCGGATCTGCAATGAATCACTCACGTCACTGTACACTTTAAATTTATTGGCTAGAAAGTACTACAGCAAGGCGCTTCTTGCAGTATGCAAATAAATGTGAAAATAAAAAGAGGCAGAGAATGATCCGCACAAACTATAGTTTGCTTCCAAAACAAATTTTCCCAGATTCTTGTCAAGTGCCAAATCCCTCTTCTGAGGTTGAACCGTGAACCCATTGTGCCTGACAGACGGCATTTGCGTAGATGCGGGAGCATCACGCTGCGAAAAAGTACGCACACCACTAGGAAGCTCGTTGCCAAATTATTTTATTATACGTAAATGCTGCCCGAAATGGCAACGACCTGTTTCGCTTAGATTTACTACTATAAAATGTCATTTGGATCTTGGCTTCCAAAAATTATGACCTGCTGTGGGAAGTTTGGAAAATAAATGCCCGAATTTGCACGACGATATGGTACTCACTGATGCGGTGGGGCATTTGTCTTGAGTGAATTCTATTTTTTCCCGGATAAGGTAGTGATAACGGCCTCAATGACGAAGTATACCTTCAACCAAGCATAGTAGTAACGATTTACTGGATAATAGTCTATACATGTTTGGCAACAAATGTCAACCTGTTTTTTGTCGACCAAGATTTATTTTTCAACTGAATTTGGCAGTATTTCCCATGTATTCCTTGTCACCGGTAACCAAAGATACGCATTCGAGGAATCTGTTTTGTGTACGCTGTGCATAAAACTCGTCCAACTAGGCATATAGAATAAAAACTCACATGACTCTCGTTTGAAATATTGTCTCCCTGTCCTTGCGCATCACCCTTGGTGAGTCCAACCCAGGGAATAGGCATATAGAATAAAAACTCACATGACTCTCGTTTGAAATATTGTCTCCCTGTCCTTGCGCAATCACCCTGGTGAGTCCACACCCAGGGAAGGCATTGGAATCCTGCTGCGCTCTTATAAGAGCTCATCACCACAAAAACGGGTAGTGTATCCCGGTTTGTCTGCAACAAATGATTCAGTTCGGCAGAGGAGACACCATAAAGTTGAACCGAAAGGTCTGTCCATCTGACGGGAAGAATCAACCCTATCACGGTCTTCTAAGCGATCCAGCTTGATACTCAAGACTTTAGTCGTAGAGTGGCAAACGGATATGATGAGTGGTCACGCATCCGGTGCGACATTCAGCCTTGTTCCGATTTTTTAATGAAGTCCTCATACATTGTTTCCTCAGCCTTTAACTTTGCAAACGACGTAGCCCTAATGGGTGCGATTTGTAAAGCATGAACGACGGCAAAAGTACATTTAGCGTAAGCAGCTGTCTCATCCGGGAGATTTCAACTGGATTAGCACGAACATCAATACACAAATTGCAACAAAATGTAACCTGACAATTAAAAAAAACCCTATATGAGAACTATTTCACTCGAGGCATTCAGAAGTAACCGCATCATTCAACAGAGATTCAAGCGGTGTTTGGAAACTGAGCTTGTTTGGGGGTGTTGAAGTTTTTTTTACAAGAGCTGCTCTTAGGAGGTGGCGGAAGAGTATACATGGATTGATTGGATCACTTTTTTGAATGGTATGGTATATTGTTCCAAATCACCCTCAATAATGATGAAAAGGGGTCCCCTGAGCCGGCTGGGAGACTTTCTTCGGAACCGCAGTAAAGTTTAGTCGATTAATTCAAGTCTGGTTCGTACGATCTTCTGTTTCATGCTTCCGTCACCATGATGATCATTGATCAGTTAACTGCAGCGTTCCAAATTTGACTATGCTTCCTGATTCGCTGAAGATTGCCTGAAAATAACTGTGCCTTCAGGTAACGCTCAAAATCAAACAAAAGGAAGGCAGTTAAATTGGTTAATTGATTTTTGTTGAGCAGATACTACCCATTCGATCGGGATAGTACACGACTTGCGCATCCACCGTGTGGAGCAATCAGGAAAGTTGTACCTACCATCATCATCAAACACTGGCAAACTGTTCTTCATGAGAACGCTCACACTGGTGCTCTGATACAATGGCTAAGATCTCTCTGTACTACCAAACATAAGTGGCCTGCGACAGTTAGAGGTGATACAGCTGACTTTGTATTTTTGGACCCGAGTGGCCTCATACGAATGCACACTCTTCTGTTCAGTTCTCGAGTCAATGTGTTCAGTCCCGCTTCTTCTGCTGCTAGTGATGAAGATGGCAGTGGTTGGATATTTCTTCTCCTCGTTGAGAATGTACCACCGTTCTAAACGCCATTGTTGTATCTCATCTCACATGACAAGGTGCACTTGGTTCACTTACCATTCCGTGCACCACATTCGAAAAATTGAAGAACGTTTATGTTGGACAGAATGTCCCACCAAAGCCACCTTACCGCGGGCAGTTATTTGCTGCCAATATCGGAAGCCCAACCCGCACGTGATCGGTCAATAGCTCGGGCCGCTTTCCGGGCAAGCATCATGGCGATCTCTGATTGGCCGACAGGTGCCCCCGACAGCCAATCATGATTCAACGTCCGCTGAGTGTCGGTTGCCTAGTCCAGAAGGCGTCCAAACTTCCAAGATGATTTGCCGCACTTAATTTAATTATGATGCAGTACTATTATCACAGTCCAGAAGCCTATCCACTGCTACGACCTAGTAATTTTCCGAAGAAAAGTTCAAACGAATGATTTGTTAACACTGTCAGAGTTCGTACAAATTGTGAGTAATCTTACCGGTCGCAAGGTATGCACCCAAAGTGCGGACAATCTTGATTCAATGTCTAGCATTTGCAACAAATCACCAGACAACCCAACACGTGATGTCGACCTTCATTTATCTTTCGGATTAAATTAGTGCAGAGTGATTTCAATGCATCGTCCCCGTAGCCTGCACAGTGAGTGTCATGTTTTGCTGTCGGGACAGTCCTTGTCTTGTTGCAGGAACTTTCATGTCATCTGACTTCACATGTCGCTTCTAATACCTGTTTCAAAGCGGTGCACACATGATTGCATTGGTCATCTGGATGCTTCGGCCGTGTACTACTTTGGTACATTTCTCTAGCTGGGAGAAAATAGATTACTCATTAACCAAGCTTTGCGACTGGACTGTGAAGTTATCATCACTGTGCAGTTAAGTCAGCATCGTCGGGTTTCGTCCGAATGGTTTTGGAGGCATCCCTAGTATAGCTGGAAGTATTCACGTTTTATGTCTGTGACCATGTTACTTGAAAATAAACGATAGTTTGTGATAGGTGTTGAATTCTACATGAAATTTTCTTGCCTGACAGAATCGTTAGATATTTTTCCAAGTTTCTATTTTTGTTCCAATTGATGAATCAGTCTTTCCTTTCGCATTGCGGTCTGTCTAACTTCAGTTTGCTTGTTAACGTACCTTGGAAAGATTTTCTTCAAATTGATTTTTCCCCTATATGTTTTGTTCCGTGGCGTAGTTTCCTGCCGATTTCTAATTGAACCTTCTTTTTGAGGTTCTGAATGAACGGTTTTTTCTTCATCTTGAGTAGACACTCACTAATCTTGAGTCTGATCTCTTTTGGTTGCTTGCTTCGCTTTGGTTAGGAGTTTTCTTTCCTCCGTTTTGTTTCATCGTGCTCTTTTCAGTTGTAGTTTTGGGTTGAACGCGACGGCGATACATGTATTAACTGACTTGCGAGGCGAGTGTCTTATCACTGTTCCAACAGCACTCGACGGACGTACCCGCACAAGCACGCCTGGACAAGCGGAGAGATGTGACTGGTTTGACCGACACCTGGAAAAACGACCCAGTATCCATTCTGGTTTTGTCGATCGATCAACCTGCCTGTCAGTCCCTCTCAGTCGGTGGGGCCACCAACAGCACACGACGGACGTACCCGCACAAGCACGCCTGGACAAGCGGAGAGATGTGACTGGTTTGACCGACACCTGGAAAAACGACCCCGTATCCATTCTGGTTTTGTCGATCGATCAACCTGCCTGTCAGTCCCTCTCAGTCAGGTGGGGCCACGGAAGCTTCAGCCTGCTGGACGACTTTGGAGTGGTTGGTTTACTGGTCGGTCCCTTGAATTTATATTAGTATAAATGTTGTACGCTCCATTGCATTATGTAGCCTATGCTATTTTTCGGAATGAATACCTTTCACAACTGTGTTGTTCTCACTAACTGATTAAGAACTGATTCCTACTTTTTTACACTGAGTTATCTCTACTGCAGAAAATGAAGGTCAACAGGGCGACTGACGAACTGTGTAGAAGAAAGGAAGAAACAAAAGTGTTTTCAGTGCATTAAAGTTTGGACAGCTGAGATCCACGGCGCACCTACTTCGCGTCTCTATGGATTTTCTAAACTTCACAAGGCCAGGGTAGCCCTGTGTTTACATCTAGATATGTCATATTTGTCACAGTCTACAGCCAACCTGAGAATCGCTTCGCAGGCAGCGGGATAGCGAGATTTTTCAGTTTATTAGTAGAGTCGAAGACAGGACCCTTTTAGACAATAAACTTTTAGCCATGGATGCTTCATCGCTTAGTAATGTATATACCTGAATTCAGTCATCGTAACCTTATGCTGCACGCCGAATGTTCCATCCCTGCTCAGCGGAACACCTGACAGACAATTCATTCTCCATCTATCCAGTTGGCTCACCACTTGCAGATATATTTGTCTTCAATCTTGATGTATTCGGTCAGCTGTAGACATAGCAATATGTGGCGTATATGGCAGGCATGTAGACACCGCTTTCTTATATATGATACTTCCTTTGAATCACCATATGGTTTTATGGCCTTTAGTTATTAAAGAAACGTAATCGTTCAGCTGTAACACCCTTCCGGCACCTAACTACCAGAAGGAAGCACGAAGGGTAGGATACTGCCAGGTTGCCCAAGCCTAGACAAGGAAAATCGAGAGGCAAAGGTCGGGTTCGAACCATGGACCTTCCGGTAAATAGATTTGCGCTGTAACTATATAGTTATCTTACTCCCATGTCTTTATTTAGGCATATTCGACTATTTTTTGAGTTGTAAGCTTGAATAGGAAGCCAACTGTCTTTTAGTGACGCAATATTTATCGGATGGTACGAAAGTCCTGCTCGCCAAAGCATTTACCGTAAGCTCAGACGGAATGAGCAATAAACAAAACTTAAGAGTTGCGGTCCAGTAAGAACCAATCAGAAACCTTCTATACGGCACATCTAAAAATACTTTTTCCATAAAATAGCCTGACGAAGGGAACCAAGTTCTTGTTCAAGCATGTCCAAAAGAAATGGTTGTAAACGCGGACTTGTGGTGAAACGTTTGCAACCCAGATCTTTCAAAGTTGCCTCGTGCATTGCATTTCGTACAACCATATATTTGCGCCCACCTTTCAAAAGTGACTCAGTAAGCTAAATTATCATTCGATCGATTATTCAACAGAAATTGAAAGAAATTGCAATGCGACCGAGCGAATAGTCGACCTTTCCGTTCGGCCTCCCTTCATGCAGCTGCTGGGGGGCAAGGTACCGGATGTGAACAAACACAAGTGTGTTTACCAAACAAACGGCTTTTTGGAAAACTGGTACATCGATCGAATTATGAATCAGAAAGGATGATCGAGTGCATAATGATGCGTTCCCCAAAACGGCAATGACATCCAATTAGCAACTTAATTTTCGCCGAATTAAACACCAGATAAAAGTGGTAGTCACTTGTAAGCCTACTTATGAAGTCCCACCGTGACTGTCGGAAACAAATTGGCCCAGGATTTTAGCTACTGCCCAAAAATACTAGTCCACGAATATTCGAGCCTTATGTTGCATTCAGGTCGGAAACAAATTGGCCCAGGATTTTAGCTACTGCCCAAAAATACTAGTCCACGAATATTCGAGCCTTATGTTTGCATTCAGGAGAGAAATCACGTCCGGATTACTTGTTTTCTCCGAACTGGCGTGTCAGTTCTGAATAGCACACCGACAGTTCGATATTGATTTGTGGTTCACACGCTCGTCCGATGTTATCGATCCTCCGTGGGAATCTATTAGCCGGCCTTATAGATATACGCAAGACTCCATTTGTTCAAACTTTCAAAAGATACATTCAATGTCTTCGCCAACAACGCAATTTTCTCCATTTACGTCAAAGTTTTCAAGTGCCTGAAAGTAAGCTCTTTCCTGGTTTGTTATTCAACCAAGCACAAACAGCGTTTGCGCTTTATAAAACGGAGCTAACTTCCGTTTAATGCATCACCCACCTTACTGGACACCTGCCAAATGACTGAGGTTCCCATTTGCGTAAAACCGACCAGATGGACAGGTGCTGGTTTTTTCCAGTTTTTAAGCAAATGTCCGGTGTTCAACTTCGCATGTACATTTGCCAGAAAAACCGTGCTCTGACTAAGAAACTTTATGCGGATGAAAGTTTTCTTTAAATCCAGTAGCTATATTTAAATAACCGATAATTCAAACATTGTTCCTTGTTCAAAAGGTTTGCAGTCCAGATAATCCACACTGTTTTTTTATTGTTAACACATTCGTACTTACCTTCGATACACGATAACTTGAGGACGCAACCAAACATTTGACTTTTCAGAAATTTTTGTTCTGTCCTACAATTACGAGAGTAACAGCTCACCAACATCCATTGATAGCATACGAAACACTTCTGTCTTATTTGCGTCTCATCGGCTATCATTGGAGATTTAGCATTGTAGGTGGGGCTAACTTTGCTGAAAAGTCAATAAGCACCTTGGAGCTGTTTCATCCTTATTGATTAACATCAGCACTGAACATTTCACGAAAATCCTGAGAATTTATAAATCACAATCTCCCGGTTAATAATCTGACCATTTGGTCGTTCGGATGGTCACCGATGTTATTGACTGAAGGTTGACAGAATCTCAATCGAAAATCCCTACATCACTCCATACTACCCACACTCTATAAGTAGCTTGAAGTAAGAGTAAATTGGCACGGTGACTGGAACTTTCACCACAGAATTTGGCACTCGAGAAGCCAATCAGCACGTGACCTTACGATGTCAAATCCGTGTCTGAAGGATGTAGCACTATCCCATGTTTACGTGTCATCGCACTGTTGATGCGCAGCTTGTGGCCGAACGGCTAGTTGTTCAGTCTACTCTTCGATTCAGCGCCATGTGGTGTATAATAAGAATTTTTTATTAAAGTCAGAACACAGCGGAGTGGAATAAGCTTTTGTAATCCGAAGTTTCGGTTGCCGTGGATGACCTTTCTCAGGGATTTCTAGAATCAATTGAATATGAATCGAGTGGGTCCACTCCCTTGCCTTCTGATTGGTGCATTCCTGTGATCAGTTGGCAGTCAGATTGGGTCAGCGTGCGTGTGTGTGTGTATGTACGTGATTGTGCGTGCACCCGATTAAGATGTGCTTCTTCCGCTTACTGTTGTGCCAGTTGTGATGCGTCACTTTTGAGATCCTCGTTTGAGATCTGTTATTAGGTGCAGTAAGTCCAATCCAGATACACGGGATGCTGGCGCCATCACTTCGGTTGATGCGTTTCGGCTTTGATGCGTCACTTTTGAGATCCTCGTTTGAAATCTGTTACTATGTGCAGTAAGTTCAATCCAGATAGACGGGATGCTGGGGCCATCACTTCAGTTGATGCGTTTCGGCTGTGTTGATCTCTAGGGTCTCAGCGCACGTCCATTCCACGTGTAACTTGAATCCTGACTGTAGTGTACGTATGCCATCAAAACTGATTGGATGGTTTCACTCAAGTGCGTGAAGGCAATGGCTGAGTCACGTTCTATTTTTTTTAAACTCTGTTGGGTTTCTTGGACGAAAACATACAGGTGGTTTGTGCTCCGTGATCCGTACGTGGAGTTGCCGAGCTGTATGGCCCATGTATTTTGCTGGACATTCTGCACAGGGAATTCGGTGCGGTGTTTCGGTCCTTAGCCCTCACGAGATGTCGTTTCAACGCGGTGTTTATTCGGAAAAAAATGTTTTGATATCATAATCCCGAAGTATTTTTCGAATGGCACTTGAAGTGCCAACTCTATGGGGTATTCCCACGGTGACCACCGGTTTTTTGTCTTCCTGTCTCACCTCTTCATGGGGTATTTGTTTAGCTGAGTCACGCTAGTTCGTCTGCTTATATGGATTCGTCCAAGCACAGTTTCTTGATGTGATTCGGCAGCGATCCGATAACTGCACGTTTGAAGTCATGTGGATGCGAAGACTCATAATGCAAATACCCGTCTGAATGTGTAGATTTTCTGTGGATTACCACTGCGAATCCATGGCTGGCGTGAACTGAGAGTTTGCACTCCAGGAAACTAATGGTCCTCTGCTTGTTCTCAGTTTCAATCGTGAATCGCACACTGCTGCATTGTTCATTCAAACAGTTTAGAAACGCTTGCCGTTGATATGATCGTAAATATGTCATCAACATATCTCAGCTAGGTGCGTGGTGGATGGGCGAATTCACGTAAGGCCTTAATTTCAATATGGTTTAAGAAGAGATTAGCCATTATGGGTGATACTGGGGAGCCCATAGTGACACTGTCAGTGTGTCTGTAGAGCGTATTTTTTAGTGGTGAAATACGTGGGGATTAGACACAGTTCAATACCAGCAATGACATCAACAGGGGTTAAGGTTGCTCTCTGTGCTAGAGATGTATCTTCGCGCAGAAATAGAGGACAGAAAAGATAAACAGTCGTTAATTGGTACGCCAGTATGGAGAGCTGTCACATCAAAGCCAGCTGCTACTTCATCGTCATTGATTTGGGTAGATTGAAGGATACTGACAAAATCCGAGGAGTCATTCACGTGACTTACCACCAGCTGATAATAAGGCTTTAACAAACTGCTTAAGTATTTGGGTTAGTTGTAAGTTGAGCAAGTAGTATAGTCCACGATGGGGCGTATGGGGTTACCTGTTTTGTGTACTTTTGGTAAACCATAGAATCTTACGGGTCTATTGGATTTTGGTGCAAGTGCATACCAATTTGCTTGTCCAAGCTTGGGTTTTAGCAGTTGTAAGTACTTATTAACTCTCAGTTTGGTATTGTTTAGTGCTGCACTTTCTTTCTGCGGTTCAATCTTTTCGTAAGGACTTTATCTTCATAGTCCTTTCGATTCATGACAACCGTTACGATGTGGATGGACTTTTCTTTCTTTCTTTGACTCATTTTCAGTTGATTGTAGAAATCCTTGGAAAGGGCCGCCCATGGCAACCGAAACGTTGGATTACCACAACCTATTCCACTACGCTGAGTTTTGACTTTATAATTATGAAAAAAACTCCCAAAATGAAGCAGCTCTACAGTGGGTTTCAGCTTTTAAGCATACATTGTCGTCATTTACAACACAACTTCCCCAAAACAATTTCAAAATATACTCACACTACCAACTTTTCACCGATGTCTGGTCCTCGCCCACTATGCCCTACCATACTCACCATCAAAACAGAAGTCAAAGTCCTTCCTAACTCATTCAGAATTCTGTTAGATCTTTGACTACAAAACTATAGGAGAGAATTTCATCTCTACGTCCTTGTGCACGTGGCTGCATCTGGCCGATTCCCCAGCTAGTCATTTATGCTCCCATCGGGTGCGTTGCTGTCTTTGGCGCATGTATATGACCTCCTATATGGACAGCGTTCGGATTGGTCGATCCAAACGCTTGCTGTTCAGCGATTGGACAGCCAATTTTGGGTTTGGCGAAAGGTAACGAATCGATTGCTGACATCTGCGCTACACTGTGGATAGCGTTGCCCGTTTTATCTCTCATTTATAGGATGGAAATGATGCCTGGACGAAAATGCTGGTACAGAGAGAGGCTCGCATGCAGCACACCATTTTTGAACGAAAGGAGTGTCGTCAATCTCGAAACACTGATTTTGTAAAACAGTGACAGACTGGAAAGGCTGTCATCAAATGACCGGATAGTGTCTAAATGTTAATATGAAACGCCAAAATGTTCGGACTCTATCGCTCATTGTTGTGACGTTTACCTATCTACTTCTTGGTGCGGCAATCTTTGATCATTTCGAATCGGACAACGAGGTTGAAGAACATCAACGGCTCACAGAGTCCGCGAACAAATTACGTCACAAGTACAATATGTCTCAGGACGATTTCGACCAAATAACACAGTTAGCCATCCAGATGAAACCTTACAAGGCTGGAACTCAATGGAAGTTTGCAGGAGCATTTTATTTTGCTACGACTGTGATAACTACAATAGGTGAGTCGGAAAACGTTTGCAATATTCTGCTACCCGTGTCCATGAATCTATGAATGTTCGCTGTTTTATTTCCAGCTTAAGAGCTGGAAACCGGATCATCGTCTTATCCCGTCATTCGGACTAAATATTTCAACAATATTTCAACAAACGAACAATTGAGATGAAAACCCTGAAGATTAGCATTTCGCTTTTCTAGAAGGTAACCTGGATTTTTTCAGCGCCAGTAGGGACTGGTCATCTAATAAACAACGACATGTTTGTTTCGAATTAGGTATCAACGTTTAGTGCTAACTTTGGACAAGCCTGTCGTGAGTTTGTCTGATTTCTCTCACCTGGTACAGCATGCAGCCCGGCAATAAAAATATATGAGCACTATCTAACACTTCCTCAACAATCCCCAAGCCTCTCCATTACAGCCGAGCTCTCCGATCGGGAAAACTAGTCAGAGTTAAGATAGAAAATAGAGCAGTTGCGTCCCGGATAATCTATCATCGTTAGTTTTTTAGTGACGCGATTTTTGAACAGTGCACAAAGGCACGGCATTTAGTTTTTCCAACTGTTTCACTTAAAACAACGGGTGTGGATGCCAGCCTTCACTAATCCGCGAAGCTAAATCTGTCCAAATTTGCGTAGCAAATCAAGCGGCAACAGAACAAGGATCGAGTTGTTCCAATCTGTTGGTAGAATCAACCAAGTAAACAGAAAGTTCACTTCCCTCAGGGTGAACCAACAATGCGAGAAACGACTGTGTTTTGCAAAGCAAAGTCGGAACTGGAAAGTTGAGCATCGACCTAACCCACGGTGACACCATTTTATCTTTGATTATCATTTAAATAGATAAAACAAGTAAGAGGAGGGTGGAAATAAGCTTTGTTTGTTTGAGATTATCACAGTTGTTTTGCTTGGTACATGTACAGCCGGTTGTACTAGTGTATCACAGTTGGGGAGTCATACTGACTTTGAGAACAAGAGTTCCTCCACACACGTTATAAGTTCTATTGCATACGCAAAAAGGGCTATTGTTTGAAACTGGTGTATAAAACTCAATGTGTAAAAGGCCTGTAAAGGCCTTATAGAAAAGTGTACAGTAGTCCTGAAGGAATACTATTCATATGGTTGCTGATAGCTGTTCAATATGTCATGACCGACGTCTTAAAGTTCATTAGGGGGGTTAACTCTGGTGGCCAACTTTAAGTTCTATTTGAACAAAATACTCAAAACCTTCTCATTTCTGCGCGAATCTTGTTTACCCTATTTCCACTGGGAAGGAATCCTTTTAAGATGGAGGAACATACAAACAGTGAGGCTCTATACCTCTGTCAGCAACTTTCGTTTCATCCGTCACGCGAATATCGGTGCGGTACTTGACTTTTCTCCTTAGTTATTGTACATTAAGTTCACAGGGGCTTAACTAAATGATCGGATACTCCATAAACAAAATCATGCTTTTTGTAATGTACTACTCATAAGGTTGCTGATAATTCGTTGACAGCCCACGACCGGTTTCGCCCTTCTTGGGGCTCGTCAGGGAGGCGCAGTCCCCGAGTTTCCGTCAACCTTATGTTCTACTTGAACCCAAATTGGACTGTTTTGAATAAATACACTCATTTGCAAATTAATTTTGGTTTTTCGAAAGACTCACCTAGAACCCAGCTAAATTTCACTCTTGTGATGTTTTCAGGCAATTGAGTAGTGCACTACAAATATATACGTATAGCAATATCTCGAATATCGTAGCGACTGAAGCATGAGGTGGCCTTGTTCAGCACATTCGGTTGCCTGGAAACATCACAAACGAGAGATTCAGCTGGGTTCCAAGTGTCGAAAAACCAAATCAGTTTGCAAATATATTCGCTAAAAACAAGCTTTCTCAAAAGTGCGTAATCCCCTTACGCACGTTTCCGCATTAATTAACCACACGTTCCTCCCACATTTCACTTGCTACTTTGTATGCAACCAGATTAACTCATCTTTGTTTCCAAGACTGCCATTCATGTGCTACTTCCAGACAAAACCCATAGGAAGCTTAATTTTCTTGTTCTTTTGAGTTGACGTCTTACACCTCATGAGGTGCTTAAACAACTTCGATTTCACTAACTTCCCATAAGAGAAATTTCAACGCGTCATTGTTCGCTAGTAACTCCTAAGAAGCTAAGCAGCCACGCAAAAAGGGAAACTCATTCAATCACTGCTGGATTTCTACTGGGTTTCATCTCAGATGCGAGAATGACACTGACGAGTTGAGCACTGTGTATTACTGTGTGATAACTCAGTGACTGAATGACAGATATCCTTAGAAGGGTTATCGAAACCACAGATCCCCGGGCCGTTGTTATGCTATTCAACGGCCAAACTCCACCTGAGATGACGCTCCTGGATAGCGCAGTAACACGAATTATTTTTCGGGCTTGTCAGAACCCGCAACTGAGGTTTTACTTAAGTGAAACAAGGATAATTTTGGCGGAAGGATGCAAGTTTTTTGTCATAATCCAATACCTCATTTGGATTATGATACAGCTGGCCAACGTGAAATTTAGTGACAATGAAAACATGGCGAAAGTCATAAATGGTATACAAATCGTTATTCAGTTTTATTACACTTCCAGGGTAGTGACAATAACTTTCGAGAAAAAATGACGCTTCTCCTCTCGAGTCCTCACAAATTCACTCCAGGGTGATTAGATATTTTTTCATAACAAACCTAATTTTGCAAGCTTTTTAAGTTTTTATGCAGTTTTTCAGAGAGTGACGGACGCATTGGATCATAAACACCAATAGAAGGCTATTCTTTCTAGTTGCGGAAATGAATTTTTTCGTGTTGACTTCACTTTAAAGAAGGCATCTCCGTAACGGTGGCTTGATGAAGTCACAGTGCCTTGATATCAATTCACTGAATACCTGAGCCTCGAAGTGGGAAGATCAAAAGGCATGTTTTTCGAGCAGGATTCATGTCTAACACAAAAGACTGTGTACATCGTAAATCCGTTATTGCTAGACTCATACAAAGGTACGTCTAGTCAGGCCTCCTCTCGGGCCTATTCGGTATCACTAACATACAAAATGCTTACCCATAAATGTTCAATCAGTCTGTTGTAAAACTGTTCATGGATCTCGGGTGCTCAGTAGCTGAACCAGCAGCTCGATGTGCGGGATGTCAGTGGTTCGAGTTCATCCGTAGGATGATCTCATCGTCTGTGACATGTACATCTGGAACTCTCAGCTCAAATCTGAAAACTGTAAATGTGAGGCGCCAAGAGTGGAAGTGGTGTAGCCCTGTCCACGTCCAAGATAAGGTAATTTGATAAACAGGATAACTATACACCTAAACACGGTGTGCTGTTTATTAAAATTCAAAGTTTGCATCCAGTTTTCGTTTGAGCATGGTTACTTATTGCCGCATGCTATTGCCTTCGATACATAGCTCCCTTCACATCCCCCCACCCTGACGGCCCACGGACAGTGGTGGATTTATGCACCGATCTATCATCTCCTGCCTGCAATGTGCAGCTACCTACCCCTCCCTCCCCAAAAAACGTCGGTGGACGAAACTGCAGCTACAACTACTGTACGACGAGTACGCGGTTATCGCAGCTGACAATGATCATGATGATCATCTATAACCGAGATCTCTCTCCCAATTAGGTTCAGCCGTTCTCGTATGCCCAAACTTCCAAAAAAGAGAGTCTGAGTAGATGGATAGGTTTACAACTGAGCTTGTTTTCTACCCAAAAGTATACCCTCCACCGTCGATAACTGTGTGGTACAGTTCCTGTTGAATAATCAACAGGTTGGGTCCAAACTTTCGCCAGTCTTTACGAGATTCACGTGTTAAGTAGTCCACTAACACTAGAAAATCACTTCCAATGTTCGAGGGCTTTTCACAGCACTCATTGATTTGAATTTGCTGGGTTAATTTCAGCTCAGGACATTGTAATTTACCTCATGTATGCTAAACAGGAAAACTTCTGAATATCTGCAAAGATGTCATAGAAGGGGCTCAAGGACTCAAGGACAGAAATGATACTGGAGTTGCTTCCCATCTTCTGGCAAGCAACTACCGAAAGGACATACATTAATACTCTGCCTAATTGTTCACGCAGTAATATTGACCGTATTTTATGGTTTCCAAAAATGCATTGTAACCACATCCGCGACGATTCCTTTCTGATTCGAGGAACAAGCGTCAAGTTTGAGTGAAAAGAGAAATGCATAACTCTATGGTGTAGTTTCGTGCTGCACGATACGTAGGTAAGACCCGTGGAAGACTCGTTTCTTAGTATTATCATCAGTAGAACCATGTGCTCTCATACAAACAAGAGCTCTTTCCAGTTGACTACTTCTCATGATAGCTTTGAACGATGATTGCGGGTCAACCTTTTGCGTTGTCTCAATTACATGTCAAATGACTGTGAATGTTACCTTAAAATTATGTTCAGTCTGTACGACAGCGAGTTATTTGACACTTCCGGAACTTGGTAAGGTAGACATCATTTTAAACGCATGCTAAATTCACTGCCAGTTTTAACCCGTGTCTCATCACAGTAAGAGTCCTTCTCGAAGATTTCAGTTCGCTGTCACCCGATATATAGTGTTTCGAGATAGATGGCTTTCTTTGGAACCGTTTATTGGTCGCTTGAGCCGTCTAGCTTTCAGACACGCGCGATCAGTTAGTCCAAGCAAGCAGTTTTCTGTGGTACGTTCTAAGACAGCTGAGTACAAAAAATAGATCAGGGAGTGTTTGCACTCAGTAGAGAAAGATCGGCGTGTTCCTCCGATCTAAACAGCAAGCCATCCCCTGGGACTGGGAACTTTATTTGTCCATCCTGTTTACACCCAAATGCAAAGCGATACTCTGGTGAAAATTCACAAGTTTAAGTTCTTAATTCACCCACAGAAGAATCGAGTCCAAAAATCGGTTACATAAGAGCAGTTTCTTAATCCCATCTGTTATCACAGTTCGAGTTTGGTCGAAAACATATCAGGGGATACTTTATAGCAAT